TTAGGAGACATTATAAACAGAGAGAGAAAATGATTCAGAGAGATTTATACTGGCTCAGAACATGAACAGGGCAACAAAAGTGTAATAGGATCAGAATGGTCACTTTACCACTGCAAACAACCCCAAACACTGTTAGCAGAAATGACAACATCAATCGCTACACACTGTGAATATTTACAAATTATTTTGTTTGGTTTTCACAAAGAAAACAGTATCCTTCTTTGTAGCATTTAGTGCTTTTTCATTTTGAGACATTTCTGAAACTATGTGAGACTGGATTACCTTACTGTAAGTCCAACCTGATATAACAATAACAGTAATAAGGTTCTATTTATTGTCTACTATGTGTCAAGTGCGATGTTATGTGTTTTACAGCCATTGTCTCATTTAACTCTCACACAAGCTGAGTATTATAATCTATAGTTTACAGATGAGGAAACTGAGGCTCAAAAAGATTAAGCGGCTTGGCCAAGGTAATACAGCCAATAAATGACAAAGCCAGAACTCAAAATTCAGGTTTATCTGATTCTAAAATCCACATCCTTTGTACTACACTACATTGTATAGTATTAAAATGAATCTACTAAACTCTATCAACTATGCCTCTGGTATTCAATCAAATTATTTGACTTGGATGTTAAGAGAAAAAGCTACATATCTATAAATGGTAACCATAGCATATAATGATTTTACTATATATGTTTACGTTTTTAGGGCCCAGGACTGAGCCCTAATACATCGGAATCTAGGATGTAATGAGTTATGTTAAAACATTAATCCATTGTATTAGGTTAAACACTAAGAATTGCTGCTAAGATGATGTCTCATTCAGGGAAAGCCTCTTCACTCCTCCTCTAGGACAATGGGTAGCACAGAAAGTGTTCGATTTAATTAGCTGTGTATGTAGAAAGAGATGCTCATCTGTTTCCATGGAGTCAAACACATCACTGACATACTTCTCCATGGAAACAGAGAAAGGAAAACAGAAAATGCTAAAATGAATGAATTCACTGAGCAGTTGGTGGGCAAAGATTGAAGAAAAAAAATAATTCATTTGTAGTACTATGTTACTAGTTTAGAAAAGAAGTAGCGTATATTTAGAGATCATCACACATATGCTATACAAAAGAATGTACAAGATACATTGAAATTTAAGATGAAACAGTATTATTTTAGTAGGAATATACAAATGTTGGAAAATACTACAGAACAAAGGTATTATTGTCTTTGTGCAGAAGACAAAAATGGCAGAATTCTTAAAAGATGAGCAGTGTTACAGCTCAGTCAGTAATGAGTAAGGGGTTCCTTAAACAAGATGATAGAAAACATAAGGAACCAATTTATAAATAAATTGATCAGCTCTATACTGGTTTCACATCATGGTTGCTTTTTTGCTTTTAAGGATTTTTTTCTTTGGGGATATAAAATTATAGGAATATTTCAAGTTTTATTATGTAACACATTAGTTAATTTGTATGAGCCTGTATAAGTGTTTTTAATTTACAATATACTGCATGTTTTGTTTCCTTTGAAGGTTACATTTTTCAGTAAAATAATAAAGAATTCATTTATAAGGTACGTTTTCTTGAGGTATTCTGCCTTTAAAAAGAATTTTTCCAATGGAATTTAGTCCTAACTTGCCTCCCAATTCAATTAAACTCAATTCACATTTAATCCCGGCCCTGAAAATGATTATTGACTTCTTGGGAGGAAAGATATTTAAAAGAATGATTATAATGTTTACTCATTCCTTCAACAAATATTGCTCATGTGCCTACCATGTGTCAGTACTATGCTGGATTTTGTGGATATAGTGATGAATTAAACAGACCTAGTCTACACTCATAGAGGCTACTAGCTTATAGAGGAGAGAGACATTAAAACAGTCATACGTATAAACATACAGTTACAATCCGAGACAAGTTCTACAAAGGAAAACTGCAGAATTCCCAGAGAGAACACAAAGAATAAATTTCACTGAGATTGGATGGTTAGAGCAGGCCTCTTTGAAGAAGCGACCTTAATGCTGAGATCTGAAGGATGATTAAGAGTCAGTCAGACAGAGAATGGGGAGAGTAGTATTTCAGACAGAAGCCCTGAGATGCAAAAGGGCTTGGCAGGTTTGAGAACCTGAAAGAAAGCAAGTTTTTCTAGTAAGAGAGTGATGAAAGGTGAGGTTGGAGAGGGAAAGAGGTACAGGTACACTTTTATATTTTATTCCAAGCACAATGGGAAGCAATTACAGAGTTTTGAGCAGGAAAATGACATAACTGAATACACAATTTTCAGTAGAAGTAAACATGGAACATTTAGCAGAAAAGTCCAAAAAAGGCAAAACTAATCTATAGTGTTTAAGATATACATCTAGGTGGTAAAAATACTATATAAGTATTACCATAAAAGTCAAGACAGCAAATTACTCCAAGGGGGAGGGAAGGATGCATTAGGGGCTCCTAGGGGAACAATGTTCTGTTCCTTGACCTAGCGATGGTTACATGGATGTTTGCTTTAGATTTATTTGTTAAACTGCACATACAAGTTGTATGTACTTCTCTATACGTACATTTCAAAATAAGATAGTATGTTTTGTTTTCTTTTAATAAAACATAGATTGAGGTAAAGAAGTGGGGAAATGGGTGCAGATGGCTCCAGAAGCTTGGTTTTGGTGACAGAGAGTGATAATTGCCCCAATATCCACTCTTCATTCTTCTCTTTAGGAACCGAGCAGCCTGAGTTTTAGCTGGTCATGACACCATCCAAGGAGAGACTTTTTTTTTTAGCCTCTTTTGTCCTAGGTATGGCTCGGTGACTAGGTCCAGCTCACCTCCTGAATGACGAATTGCTTTCCTGCACTCTCTCTTTCTCCCTTCCTGCTGGCTGGGCTATGACTGCAATGAAAGTACCCGCCTTTGACGCAGAGGTGGAAGCCACATGCTGAGAAGGGCAAAGCCAAGCCCTCGCTGCATCCCTGGAGGATTTTGTGAAGCAGAGATGTCTATCCACCCTAGACTGCCCGCTTCCCTTTGTACCATTGTGAGAATGAAATACACTTCTATCTTACTGAAGTCGCTGTTACAGCAGTTTAGCCTGTGCACTGACACAGTTATGAAGGAAAGTTAAGAGACAGGGCAATACCTAGATGGGGATGAAGGAAAAGGGAAGGGATTTTTAAATAATGGAGATAATAGAGCATGTTTAACTGTTAATGGGAAGAATACAGAATAGAAGAAAAGACTGAAGATGTAGTAATCAGAGGTAAAAAAAAAATGGAGCAAGGTCCCTAAGAATTTAAAAAGGGACGGACACAGAGCATGTGTGGAAGAACTGACCTCTAACAAAAAGGGATATTTGCTCTGGTTTAGCAGGAAGAGAGAAGAAGATGGGTGCAGATGTTGGGTGATCTGTAGATGTCATGCTGAAAAATGAGCTAGTTCCTGTTTAATGTCTTCATTTTCTGTAGGAAGCTAAAGCGTTAGCTGAGAAGGGAGGGAGGGAGAATGGGCAGTCAGAGGTTTCGGTAGAGTGAGACGGTATGAAACACTCATATGGAGAAATGTGGTATGATGAGCAGAAAGTGCTGAGTGCCTATTTGAAGTGGGTAATCATGAATTAGGGTGTTACCAATCTTCCAGCCAGGTGAAATTGTTCAGGGCTTGGCAGAGGTAGATGGATCAGGTTCATCCAGAGTTGGATTGAGACAGCCAGGTACAATAGGTGAGGAGAAAAGGGGATTTTTCCAAGAGAAAGATTTTAATAATAGACCGTGGAATCAGAGCTGAATAGGGAGGAAAGTAAAGACAGAAGGAGACTGATGGTCAAAACTGGAGAAGAGAATGGGTTGGAGGTCTCAGTGAGGTTGAAAAACTATTGTTCTCATTAGTAGGTGAGCTGCAAGTAAAAGAGTTTTAGTTGAATGGTGGAATATTTGAATGAGTGCTTCAGAGGTGCTGGAAGATGTCAAGTTCCAGGGAGTAACTGAATGCAGGTAGCTGAGGTGAAGCTGAGGTGTTAAGTAATAATGTCTCTGCTAGACAAGGGAAATCTTCAAAGAGTGTGTGGCAAAAGAATTTTGTCTTTGGACACGAGTAGGAGTTTGTTTAGTAGAGAAGGGGTAAGCAGTAGAAGATAGAAAAGAGGAGAGGGAAGAGATATATAGAGAAAAGTAAGACAAAATTCTTGGCATATAGGGGAATAGAAAGCCTAGCCAGAAGTTAGGGTGCATGGGCAGAAGTTCCCAGAGAAACTGTAAATGTAGGGTGAAAATAAATTCTGAAAGAACAATTATTGAAGTTCAAGTAGGGTGGACTTTATTTTGCAGCCCAAGTCATCAATCATGATGTCACTAGATACTAGTATATATAAATATTATAAATAATGTGAATTTTTATTTTATTTATTTTCTTAAGGATTAATGACTTGCAAATATGTGGCTTTGTGGTTTTTACAATTCTGGAAAATTCTTACCCATTTTGTCCTTGAATACTGCCTCTCCTCTATTCACTTTATTCTCTCCTTCTAGAACTTCTATATCAGACCTCTTTCTCCATATATAAGTCATAGGGAGAACATTAAATCACTTTCAAACAATTGAATCAATGATAGGGAGAACACTGCATTAATTTTAAATCATTAAAATTTAAATTATTTGTAAACTTTAGTAATTTGGGTATATATTAAATGTTAAAGATCATTATCTACTATCTCATTCTAGATCTCTGTTATTACAAAGATGAAGTAATTCTCTTAGCACTTTAGAGTATACAACCAGATTCAATGCCAAATACACAGACATTTCTCAGATACTTTTCACCTGATCCTAATCCATATTTTTAAGTTTCAGGACTTAATTTCTTTTTTGTGCAAGTCTTGGAACAAAACGTAAATAAGAATATATTTCCATTAAAATGTCTAAGTATATTGCAAATTAAAACTAAGATTAACAAACTTCCTTAGGACAAAGAGTTATCTTTAAAGTTTCTATAATGAAGGGGACTGCTTACCTATGATGAGCCTGTGAAGAGCACCCTTATCTCCATTAATAGCGGCAGCATGAACTTGGGACGCTAACGAGGAACCAGTAACGAGCAAGTTCTCTGACCTGTTCATACTCTTCTCAACAACTGGAGCAACCTGAAACAGTGATTTAAACCGTGAGCAGATGCAGGAAACATTTCTTTTTTTTTGTGAGGAAGATCAGCCCTGAGCTAACATCTGTGATAATCCTCCTCTTTTTGCTGAGGAAGACCCGCTCTGAGCTAACATCTGTTGCCAATCCTCCTTCCCCCCGCCCAAAGCCCCAGTAGATAGTTGTATGTCATAGTTGCACATCCTTCTAGTTGCTGTATGTGGGATGCGGCCTCAGCATGGCTGGAGAAGTGGCGTGTAGGTGCACGCCCAGGATCCGAACCTGGGCCGCCAGTAGCGGAGCGCGCGCACCCAATCGCTAAGCCACGGCGCCGGCCCAGGAAACATTTCTAAAACCTGCCTCATCAGCTCTACGTGGGTATATTATAAATATGGTCTACTAGAAATATTTGACTAGGATTAAAAACATCTACAGTCCTAGTTCTAGAATTGCCATAATATGGCAAACTTGGTGACCCCTTGTATAAGCAGCTTATCCGTAAAATAAGAGGGTTAGGTGCTTCTAAGACCCTTCTCAGGGGCTATCTGAGGAAAAAAGAGAGCTCAGTATTTAATATTTGGCACAGGGCTCAAAAGCCACAGTGAGGGCTGGCCTGGTGGCGCAAGCAGTTAGGTGCACACACTCCGCTGCGGCGGCCCGGGGTTCGCCGGTTCGGATCCCAGGCGTGCACCAACGCACTGCTTGGCAAGCCATGCTGTGGCCGCGTCCCATAAAGTGGAGGAAGATGGGCACGGATGTTAGCCCAGGGCCAGTCTTCCTCAGCAAAAAAAAGAGGAGGATTGGCAGATGTTAGCACAGGGCTGATCTCCTCACAAAAAAAAAAAAAAAAAAGCCACAGTGATTTCTGATACAGGTAATTTGATCCTACATAATACTAAACATTAGAACTAGGAATAAAAGTAATGACCAAGTCACAAAATGAGTATGATTTGAACTTAATTGTCAGGTCATAATTAACTAGATTTAAGCACTAAATTAAAAGATACCTACTTCTTCCTCTCATGCCCACAAAAGGAGTTTTTATTTGTTTTCTCCTTACAGTCACCAGGAAAATACACCTAGCTTGAGCTCTTGACCTTAGGATCTTACTGAGAAAACCCACATCAGTAGGATCAGCCATATTTCATTAAGAAAAATTTTGTTCTGACTGGTACTCTGATATGGTTTGCTAGAACCTTCTAGAAATGCATTACCTGCATAGGGAAATAGTGAGTTCCCTATTATAAGAGTGTTTAAGCAGAGGCTGGATTATGTCAGAAGTGTAGCAGGAAGAATTCAACCATGTGATGGCAAGGAAAGAGGGGTAGTTGTATGAATGACCTCAAATTTCCTTCCTAAACCTAACATGCTGCATCCAAGTTCCAAAATTGAATGCCTATCAGGACCAGGGAGGTAACAAGTGTAACAAACACAGGGAGTCACGGGAATCACTGCAAATTGCAGCATACATACCTATCTGGAGGGAGCAGCTGTTAATCAGCTACAGTTAAGAGCTGCCAAATGGTTAGGCAAGCCCTCTTCCAATTTCACCAAAAAGTGTCACTCTGATCTCGATGACTCCCAAGGATCTGGGAGTTTTGTAAGATAAATTTATCACTACTGATGAGCTAATACTTTTGTTGTCATTGACAAGGATTATTGGTTCAAGTTCTGCCTTAGAGTGAAAGTATTTTCTTAATTTTGGTAAAGGTCAACTCTTCATGTCTTTATTTTGTTGACAATTTGAGTTAACATGCTGGCAGAAAATATGAGCATTGTGAGGCACTTCTGTCATGTCTGAGCATGTCTGTCATGTCAGAAAAACCACCGTCATATGCAGGATTATATTAAAGTGACAAAAGAAGCTACAAAACTGGGGTGGAAGTGGAAACACAGTAGAGGAATAATTGCACTTGGGCTCTAGGCCAGGTTCTGTTAATAACAAGCAGCATGTCCTTAGGCTACCTCAGCTCTCTGATTTTCTGTAAAATGTGAAAAATGAAAAAGGTCAACTATGTTGATTCATTCAACAAGTTGAGTACCAATTATGTGCTAGGCATTGTTCTGAACTCTAATACTTGTCATTTTAGATTCTGTGATCAGAGTTTTAGGCACATCAGAATCACAAAAAAACTCTTCATACCCTTTGAAAAACACTCTCAAAATTATATCTCAGTTACATATATTTCTATATACTTCATCTCATAATTTTTAGCATTCTTAGCATAATTCTTGGTAACAGGTACATAGTTGGTGTTCAGTAAATGTTTGTTGAATGAAAAGTCATAGACTGAGTGCCAAGTCCAGAGGGTGAGCAGAATCAAAGTTTAATTTCTTGGAGTAACTAGTTCACACTCTTGAGTCTCTGCTCTTTTTTAATTCTCCGTTTCTGTCTCTTTTGTCAGCGAGGTAGATGGGTGGTATAGAGACACAGACATTGGAGTAGGAGACAGGAGACCTAACTAAAAGTCTTGGCTCTGCCACTATCTGATTTTGTCACCCAGGGAAAGTGATTCTCTAGGGCCTTTTTTTAGCTCAAATGTAATTTTTTTAGCGCTAATATTATTTGTAAATAATTTTTATAGACGAAAATCAAAACCACTTTGTTAATTATAAAGTGCGATAAAACGCACAGGTATCATCAACATTAATTATAAAACAAGCCAGTGCAATAAATGCTCTAATAATTATAACTGTACAAACTAGTGGTGCTATAGTTACAAGCAAAGGAAGAGTAATTCCGATTAGGATCAAAGGGTTAGTTGTTTGCTAAGTTCTCAGAGATGGTGACATTTGAGATGACATTCCAGATAGAGAGGAGTTAAGGCCATTCCAGGCAGCAGGAAAGCTGGAGCAAAGGCAAGGAGTAGGGAGAACCACAAAAAAGCGGAATGCCTCCCGCGTACTTAGCAGTGATTGTGTGGCTACCATTTGGGGCACGTGGATTTGGCTGAGTGTTTGTAGATGAGGCTGGAGAGTTAACTCGGGCCAGGTTAAGATCTTCAACTCTTGGCTAACGAATTTCGGAATTATCCTATAGGAGCCATCCATGCATCAGTACAACCACTCTCGCACTGAGCTTTTCAGTTTACGACGTGCTTTCCCATCGTCTCCCACATCTACTCCTTACAATGAGCCCACAGACACAAGCAGGGATAAGTCATTGACTCATTCGACTGAGGCCCTGAGAGGCGGCTCCAACTTTATAATGCAGGAACTAGCGCAGAAGGAAGAGGCAGCAGGCGAGGAGGCCACCGATGGAGGTCAGGCCACAGCCCAGGCCAGGAGGGCCGTGAGTCTGAGGCTGGGGCCAAGGCAGTGCAGATAGATCAGAGCCACCCCAGCCAGGCCCCCTCCTACTCACCCTCGCCTCCTCCAGGACTCACGTCCCAGGGGCGGCTCCAGGAGGCACGACCCCCACTGGGCCGCCCCTCCCGGCAGGCCAGGACACTACATCCGACTGGGACAAACCCAACGGAGCCGAAACTAGTGGAGCCCCTCCGAAGGCCGCCCGCGCCTCTCTACCGCACAGCCTTCTGGGAATTGTAGTTCCCCTCCTCTGAAACACTGAGGTACACCCGCCCTCCGCCCTTTCGATCCCGCAGGGCCCCGCGCGCAGAGGACTCGGTGGACCTAGGCCGAGAGCCTGATGGGAAAGGAGTTCTGGATGCCCGATGATGTGCTCGGCGAAAGTGGTGCAGGACTACATTTCCCGCTGTGCTCCGAGGTGGGCAGGACCCGGAAGTGAGGGTTGCGAGGCCTCTCTGGAAGTTGTCCTGGGTGTTCGCCGCTGGAGCTCCGGGTCGAGAGGACGAGGTGCCGCTGCTGGGAGGATCCTCCGCTGCCGCCGGCTCCCGGAGCCCAGCCCTTTCCTAACCCAGCCCAGCCCAGTCCCAGCCGCCAACGCCTGTCCCTGCCGCGGACCCCAGCGTTACCATGCATCCTGCCGTCTTCCTATCCTTACCCGACCTCAGATGTTCCCTGCTGCTCCTGGTAAGTGAGTGAAGGAATGACAGACCCTTCGACACACGCACGGACGGCCTCCCGCCCTCGCCGAGGTGGAACACAGCTGACCCTACCCCTGCTTTCTTATCTTTTCCTCCAGTGGCGAGGAGTGCACCCTCTCCCGCTGCCTTCACTCCCGGCCTCCGTCTGTGCCCTTCCCAGGGCCGAGGCCCCACGGTCGGAGGTTGGGACCTGCAAACGGGAGAACTAGCCCTGGGGGAAGGCTGCGTGGGAGGGTCTCGGCGAGGAGCTTCCCCTTCCCCCGGAGTACGGAGGTGGCTTCAGTCTCGAGGGCTCATGGACCTGGGGGTGGCCTGAATCGAAAAAGACGGGGGATAGACTTGTTACCTCCCGCCGCCTCCTTCTGGGAAGCGTGTGAGGCCGACAGGTGCTGGGGTCGTGTGAAGCACTCCAGAGCCCTGAAACGGTGCCCGGGCTGCCAGAGCCCTGTGTTGTGGCTTGATGCGATTGGTTGGGAACCCGGAACTGGAGACTGGTTTGGTGTCCACTGGGGGAATAAAGGTTTGAAGGGTGGAGGCGGTGATTACCTGAAAGCCTCAGCTCAAGGCCTCCTTCAAATGTTATGACCCCCTGACCCTCGAAATTTAGGCAGAATTGTTTTTCAGTGTTCCTAATTTGAGAATAAGCAGGTTTTCTGCATACATATGCGCCCATTCCTTAACTCCTCACCTGCTCGGCTCTGTCCTATCTTGTAAAGGAATCTTTCCTCAGTCCCTCTTCCTCCCAAGTACATCTTGAGTTTGCAACCTAAGTAATCCAGGCTGCAGATCAAATTGAGACAAAAGTGAAGGACTAGCTCCGTATGGCAAAATGACCAACCTTTAATTGAGCTGTTATTGTAATACAATATTTGAAAATACTTTAATTGTAATAGATTTTTTAAAAGCCAATTTAAGATGAACATTAACTCAAAATCACTTTCTTTACAACTTAAACTTAAGTGACTCACAGGAAGTCATACAGCTGGTTACTGGCAGACCTGGGACTTGAGGCAGGTCTCTTGACTTGCAGTGTTTATTCCACCACGTCACGTTAAATTTTTAATATTTGTGTTTGAAATAGTTTTTCTTTCTTCCTCTCCCTCTTCCCTTCTCTCCTCTCTCTTTGTGATTTGCAAGTCATATTCAAAAACCATATACAGTACTTGGACTTTTTCAGAGGAAAAGCACCAGAAAAAACTAAAGGGGATGTCGAAGTACTTTTGAGAACTAAAAGTTGTATATAAACATGGTAATATTAAATGTTAAACTGTCTTATTGCCACCTCTACAGCAATCAGTGACTTCTGTGTAGAGGAAAATATTTTGTATAGAGCTGTTTCTTGGTGATTTCATTACATGCTGTAGTTCTCTTTCCTTTCTAAGAAGTACTGGAATAATGCTCTTTGTTGTTAAAGACCACTCTCTTTAAGGATACTAGATACTCATCTTTTCCTTACCCATAAAATAGCCTAAGTTGTGAGTTGTCCGCCAGAAATTACTTTTAGGTTACCAAAAAATACAAAGGCCAAAAGTCTTAAGACGTTGGAAAGAAAAGTTGAAATACTAAATAGGAAGACTGCATCAGATGCACTTTCCTGGAATGGTATGTTTGGTTGTAGACCTAAGTTTCAGAAGGAGAAAGAATTTCTTTTGAAATAATGCATGCTTTTTTTTATAGAAAGCCTACAAATCTTGTTAAGAATAAAAAAAGGAATTTTTTTCTAATAATTCTAAAATTTAGTTAACGTTTTGTATATTTATCTCTCTCAGTAAATATAGAGGAGTAGAAACATAGCAGACCTTTTAGAGAATACCTGTAAAGATTAATGGGCTGGAAAATAAAGCCCAAGAAAAGGTTTAATAAACCAGAATTACAAGTCAAGCTAGTTTCAATTTGAACACAGTGTTTATCAAAGTAGTTTTAATAATCATATACTAGTTAGCAAATATTTATAAAACGTCTGTCTAATCACAATTTGAGTTACTTATCTAACTGATAATTCTGTCTTAGTGATGGAACCTGCTTACTCAGTATCCTACCTGTCTAAAAATACATCCTTTATCTTCCCCGATGTACTTTCTTCCTCCTGCCTCCAGCTTCCCCTCTCAGACTTCAGGTTTATTCTCTCCCACCTACAGCATTGAATAGCCAAGTTCCCACCTAGCTGAGGTCATCATTTTTTTCCTTAAACAGCCTGCTCTAAAAAGCCATATATTCTCTTACTACAGTAATTTTTTTCAGGCAAACTATACCTCAGCCCTATAGAGCTAGATCTGTTCAGACTTAGTGGTGTTCGTTAGGATAATAGCTGAAACATATAATCCTAAACTTCTGTTGGTAGGTATCTTTCTTTTCTCTGATCTCAAAAGCATTTTGGAACATGTCCCGTTATGCCTAAAAAGCCTTTCTGGGATGGGTAAACACAAAAGCTGAATGTGATAACTTTTTTCCTGGGTTTTCATATGTATTTATTTAAAGTGAAGGTCTTAGAGACGAATTCTTTTATTTCAGGCTTGCTTTAGGAAACACTCCCATTGCCTTTAGATTATTTTTAAACTCCGCTGAATTTGCAACTTGTCTTGGACAAAGTGAGGTAGTCTAGATGCACTGATTTTGGATAAATCAGAAGAGAAATTTGAGTCACCTGGCAAATGCAATGAGGCCTTAATCCTCGTGATACCGTTCATATCCCTCACTATATATATTGTTTCTGTTATGGTTTGGGTTGATCCATTAGATGTGTGATTATGGCTTTAGTTCTGAACTTTATATACTGTGCCCCCATAACTGTTTATCATATTTTGTGGATGATTTGAATGTTGGAGACAGCAATGTTTTTCTGGTAAAGCCCCATGTATATAATATCTGGCTTGGGAAATTGCTTCCCAGTTGTGTGTGTTTTTAAGGACAGTCACTTGAATCAGAGAAAATCACCTGGCCAGATGTATCCTGGCATCATCTCTTTATTTCGCCATGTGACAGTCATTACCTGGCAGCTCATGGGATAAGTTCATTTATCACTCTAATCAAAGAATCAGTTACTCATTAATTAGCCTTTTTCTGCTTATCTTTCTGAGATGGGTTTATTCAGGATTGAAAGTGATCATTTTCCCCTTAAATTAATTATTTCTTAGCAGTTGTTCTTCCTGCACTGGTTGTATACAAGGGCTTTGAAAGGGTGAGATAGGAGAAATAAGACTAAATTGGAATGAAATTGTCTGATATAATCCTAAGTAACTTTTTCTGTGGTTCAGAGATTTGTAACACTCCATTCCAGCTGCTTTACTGAAGATGTTTCTTGTGAATCTCTTGGTGATTATGTTTATAGGTCATAAGTTGTTACTGGCCCTAATTTCCTTGTGCCTGGACATTAAGGCTTTGCCATTGTTGCTCCTGGTTCGTTCAATTTGTATAGGAAGCCAAGAAAAGTTTGCTTAGGTTAGGAAGCTTAAGTAAATCAGAGAGCTAAGTAAACATTTATTTAATTACAATCTTTATAAGCACCTTAAAAATAAGTACAGTAGAATTCAGAGATGTCAGTTTTAGCCATTAATGCCAATAGTAAATACAGATTGCACTCTTCAAGAATAGTACTTTTGAAGACGTAGTTCCATTCATAACTAGGTGAATTATTATCCTATTGATATGACTTGCTCCAGATCAGTGGTTTATAAAACCTCGTTGCTCATTAGAATCAACTGGGGCAGTTTTAGTAAAACGATGGCTGGGCATACCACACTAGTTATATCTGGGATCTGAACATTGGTTTAAAAAAATTCCCAGGTGATTTGTTTTTTCTTTAGTATGTCTCTCTAAGAGATAAAAATTAAAGAACAAAATAAAAATCAGAATACCATTATCACATCTAGAAAAATTAACAGAAATTCCTTTATATCATCAAATAATCTAGTTGATGTTCAGATTTTCCTGTTTGAAAAAAAGTTTTCTTTAAACAAATTGAATGTTCAAAGCTGGAGCTGTATAAGGTCCATACATCCCAATCGGTTCATATGTCTCATATAAAACTTTAAATCTGTAGGTTCTCTCTCTATCTCTTCATTCTTTTTTTTGTAATTTATTGTTGAGGAAACTGGGTCTTCTGTCTTGTAGAATTTCCCACGTTCTGGATATCGCTGATTGTATCCTGGTGGTGTGGTTTTGTGTTTCTCTGTTCCTGTGTTTCCTGTAAATTTGTAATTAAATTTATGTGGTCTTAACCACCAGCTCCATGTATAGTTAGGATCATTTGTTTCATTTAGCTTTCAAATTTTAGTTTTTAAATTCATCTTCTAGTTTATAGTTATGCAAAATTTACTACTTCCAAAGCCAATCTATGAAGCAGACTATATTTGGATAAGTCCAGCGTCTATCCCTGTCTCTTCTACTCTCTTATCTTCCTCCAAATGTAAGAAACTTTTTTTAATATTTTCAGTTTTTAATCGTTTATTAAAAAAATGTGAGCAATTACTTGTATTTATGTATGTGTATATTTGTTTCTCCTTCCTCTTTGATAAACTGTAGCTTATTATTTATACTTTTCTCTGCCTTTTTTTTTTTTTTAACTTAAAAGTATATCCTAAAGATCAGGATAGAAATATTCCTTATTTCTTTTAAACTGCTTATTGCTCCACTGGAAAGATGTACCCATCCACTATTGTTTGTGTTCTTTTGCTGTAACAAATAGTTCTGCAAAATTAGCTTATGCATACATATTTTTGCTAGTGTATCTTTGAGATACATTCCTGTAATTGAAGTTGCAAAGGCAAAGGGTAGATGTATTTGTAACTTTGTTGATTTTGCTAGATAGTGCGAAATTCCTCTCCACAGGAGTTGGCCCTTTTGAGTTCTCACCGACAGTGTAGCCAAGTTTCCCTGTATGCTTGCTAACAAGATACGATGTCAGATGGTTGGGTATTTGTCAACCTGATAGGTGAAAAATGGTATCTCAGTGCATTTTCATTTGATACTCTTTTAATATGAGTGTGA